GAAATAGAGTTTCTACCATGCTTGGTAGGAATGGCGACATTTTTGTTAAAAAGACTAAGACTGGGTTGAGAACTGTGGAGGGAATCTCCAGCTGGGTATTCTCACATCCTGCATAGGAATGTGGGAGAATCGAGAGATTGAAATCAAGGTTGGTACTAGTCATTCTCCGTACCTCTCTTCCATATTGTCTGGAAGGCAAGTCTCCCTCCAGACCACTCACTGTACAGTAAGTGCTCCTCTGATGACCTTAATGCAAAGTCCTATTTCATCTGTGCCAGTGGACGTACTTGTCAGGAACAGACATTCAAACGTTAACCCACAGGCCGAGTAGGTACCTTTACTCCCAGCACTAGGGAGGCAGAGGCAGGCTAGCGTTCCAGAAAGCCAGGGTTATACAAAGAAACCTGTCTCAGGAACAAAACCAAGCCAAACAAGTCACTCTGTAGCGCTTACAGTTAACTATAGTTAATTATTATGACTACGAACTCGAAATCTTCCCTGTTGTCAAAACCTCATAGTAATCTCATGACCTGTGAAACTTACCATTTTAAAGTTTTATTTTTATTATTTTTAATTGTGTGTGTGTGTGTGTGTCTGATCTCCTTGGAGCTGGAGCAGTTAGTTGTGAGCTACTTGAAGTTGGTGCTGGGAACCAAACTCGGGTCCTCTCTCTGCAGGTGTGCTCTTAAGTGCGGAGCTGTTGCTTCAGGCACACCCCTGACCTCCAAAATTATGTTGATGCAATAGAACTTAAGATGTAAAATTGCTAAAGATCTAATTTGGTCTACAGAAATGGACAAGTGAGGCATAAGAGTTTGCTAACCCCAAACCTATCAGGAATGAAGGTTCTTATTCTTTTTTTTTTTTTTTTAACCTTCATACTTACTTAGCTTTCTGACTCTGCTTGTGCCTTTAAGGCTTTCGTGCTGATTTTCTATTACTGAATAAAGAAAGCATCCTGCCTCAGATACACTGAGCCCACAGGGAACCACCATAGGCCTTGCTCCTGCATTGTTTGCTTTTGACAGTCTCATGAATACGTCAAGTCTCTCAGCACGAACCCCTGGAAATCTCCCTGAGCACATGCCCGTTAAGAGTTTTGTGCTAGCCGGGTGGTGGTGGTGCACGCCTTTAATCCCAGCACTTGGGAGGCAGAGGCAGGCGGATTTCTGAGTTCGAGGCCAGCCTGGTCTACAGAGTGAGTTCCAGGACAGCCAGGACTACACAGAGAAACCCTGTCTCGAAAAACAAAACAAACAAACAAACAAAAAAAAGAGTTTGGTGCTTTCCCAACCTTCTTGGTACTGAGGTAAACAGTCCCATTTCCAGGCCTTCGAGGCAGCCTAGTTGTAGGAAAGCCCATGACGACATGTCGAACGCTGGACCGTCCTGAGTGCCTCTTAGTTCTGCCTACCCTTTTCTGACTGTTTCTGCTTACCACTCTCCTCCTCCTCCATCCTCCTGTTCTTTCTCCCGGCCTCCCTTCTATCGCCTCTCTTCCTTTCATGTCTTTGCAGTATAAGATTGGGTCTCATGTAGCCCACGTAGGCCTGAAACTGTCTACATAGATGACCTGACTTACTGCCGACCCTCTTGCTTCAGCCTCACTAGTATTTGTACTGCAGGTAAACACCGTTGTGTTCAGTTGTATATGGTGCTGGGGGCCCCACCCTGGCCTTTCTGTGCAGTTGGCAAGAGCTATCCCACTCCAATCCTCTCACCTTTTTTAAACAAAACAAAACAAAAAAACCCCCAAAAACATGATCTTACTCTGTAGCCCAGGCTGATCTGGCATGCACCACCACTGCCTGACTTAGTTTCTCTGTATAACCCTGGGTGTTCTGTACCTTGCTCTGTAGACCAGGCTGGCCTCAGTCTCAGAGATCTGCCTGTCTCTGCCTCCCAAGTGCTGGGATTAAAGGCTTGCAGCAGCAGCACTGCCACCCAGGTGTGTTTCTTACTATAGTGTGAAATCAAATCGTGAAAATAGGAAAGGACCTGTATCAGGCAGCTCACAACCGCATGTGATGGTAAGCAGGTCTCTGAGCTCTGCAGGCCCCTGGATTCACATGGTCATACCCATACACAGACAAACACATACACAGGATTTAAAAATTAAATATTGCTTTATCTTATTTACATGTACAGGTGTTTTTCCTGCATGTACCACATGTGTGTCTGGTGTCTGAAGAGGTCAGGAGAGGGTGTCAGATCTCCTGAGACTGGAGTTTCAGATGGGTATGAGCCATCATGTGGGTGCTGGGAACCAAACCTGGGTCTTCTGGAAGAGTAGCCTGGCCTCTTAACCAATGCACTATCTTTCCTAAAAGTAAATAAATATATTTATTTAAAATAAAATGTTGCTGGGCAGTGATGGTACACGCCTTTAATCCCAGCACTTGGGAGGCAGAGGTAGGCAGATTTCTGAGTTCCAGGACAGCCAGGGCTACACAGAAACCCTGTCTTCAAAAACAAACAAACAAACAAACAAACAAACAAACAAACAAAAAATGTAAAAGAGATGGGTTTAGCTCTGTGGTCGAGCGCTATGGTAGCTTAGTGATTCAAGTCTAACATGCCTGAGGCTCTAGATTTAATACCTGTCCTCCTGGGGTTAGGGAAAGAAGTCTTCCTCCCTTTCTGGCAAATAGACAAGTAAAAGAACTCTGTAAAGTGTTTTTAATCCCTTTCTGCTCAATCTCTTTATAGTCCTTCCTAGTCAAACTCCTGAGAGCTGCCTTCAGTGTGCCTTACTCCTGTGCATTGAGAACTTTGTTAGTGAGAGCGGTCGTGACATTGTAATAAAAGACTACAGCATTACTTCTCCTGTGCTGAATGCCCGCTTAATCCAATCTTGTAGTAGGAGATATTTGTTAAGTACTTATGTTATTGTGCTTGGTGTGTATCTCATTGTATCTCAAAACTACCTTGTGCAAGACATAGAAGCTGAGGCCTGAAAGGTCACACAGGGGAGGCCCTGTGCTTATCCCACCCCAAAGACAGAGGTCTTTGGAGCTTCCTAAAGCCAGTAGGGCGTGTGCGTGTGGGTGTGCATGTGCGTGTGTGTGTGTGTATGTATGTTTTGCCTGACCTCTCTTTACTGGAACTCTTTACAAGAACTGAGGTCTTGAGTATATTTGGCAAGCATTCTACCACAGTGTTCCACCCCTAGCTCCCAGGGGTCCATGTCTTAGGCAGAGATTGGACAGTGGTAAAATATCTGCCCTAGGCCAGGAGATGGTGACACATGCCTTTAATTCCAGCACTTGGGACGCAGAGGCAGGTGGATTTCTGTGAGTTTGAGGCCAGCCTGGTCTACAGAGCTAATTCTGGGACAGCCAAGCCGCCCGCCCCCTCTCCCCCCACACACCCACACTGTCTTTTACTTTGCTCAGTTAAGGGGTAGATCAGAAATGTCACACACGCTCCATCATTCAGTGGGTGGGGAGAGAGGAGGAGTCACCAGGAAGGAGCAGAGAGGGATGCAGATCACACATAACCTCTCCCTCCATCCAAGAAAGAGAGCCCTCTGCTCTCAAGAAGTAAAACGTTAGAGGATAGATGCCGCCGACCTCTGTGTTAGCCTGTACAGATCCACCACGAGCGTCACTTGGCCAGCGTCATGGGCATCATCATCAGAAACCCCTTTGTGTTCCTGACCCTGTTACTCAGCAAATGGAGGCAGGAGGAGAGGGAGACCCCCATCTGAAAATGAAACAAAACCACCACCAAAATAAGGAAGGAAAGACTCCTCCTGGGTGGGGGTGAGGTGTAGCTCATGGTAGACATATGTAAACAGCCCTGGGTTCAATCCCTGGAAGAATAGGAGTCTCTTCAGGTCTCTCTCCTGTGAGTTGAGTGATTTGTTTTATCTTAATGCGGGTCCAGGAAGTCCCTCACTCATCCATATGTAGTAGGCACAGGAAGCTCAGAGCACTCTGTTTTGTTGGAGCTGCCTTACTGCCTTCACCTGGGTGGGTAAACCTTATCTCCTGAGTATCCTCTTATCCTGTGTTTGCTTAGGCTACCAAGAACTCACATTCAGTTTTGTGCTGGAATTGGTGATCTGAACCAAACAGTGAGGTCCGGAACAGTGACGGAGCCTGCCCTGAGCACAGCCTCTGCAGGGCAGCCTGAGCACAGCCTCTGCAGGG